CTCTCTCTCTCTCTCTCTCTCTCTCTCTCTCTCTCTCTCTCTCTTTCTCCCCCTCTTTATCTTTTATCACACACTCTCTCTCTTTCTCTCTCTCTTCCTCTTTCAAAGAAGAAAATGAAAAACGACAGAGAAAAAGAAACGCGTTAAGATAGACATTGAGAAGCGCATTAAAGCCGCAAGCGAAATAAAACTTACAGTATACTTTTGCCGATAAGTAAATTGCATTACACACACGAGCATATTTTCCTTTTTATCATGAATGGCAATGACTTTCGCGACGATTCGAACACTACTAATGATGACCCGACTTCGACGTCACTTGAGACAGATAAGGCTGCGAGTGGTAGAGTTGTTGTTGTCGTCTGAAACGTGATACATGAAATGGCAGCTGGCGATTCTGAAGATTTTACACAGAATGGACTCTATTATATTACACAGTTTTAGCGCCTTATCACTCTCCCTTTCTCCCTCTCTCTCTCTCTCTCTCTCTCCCTCTTTCTTTCTTCGCGCAGATATTTATAAAAATAAATACTTTGAAAAAGTGTTTCGTTCACTATACCGTATAATCGATACATATATGTATATATATATGTATATCGGAGCGAGATAATAAATAATTATTACGTCAAATAAATAAATAAAGTTGCTTCGTTTAGCATTCGTTTCGCGTATCTTTAATATATACGATTTACAAAGTATATAAGAGGCGACGGCTTGTCGTTCAGTGGATTTCGTAGTTGCCGCGCTCATAAAAAAATATGAACATTATTCGATTTCGAGCGTACGTTTTCTGGACACTTAGCGAGAAGGTCGACTTTTTTTCTTCTTTTCGTTTAAGACTCGTAAAGTTCGTTATTATTACTCTTCTGAATTTTCGTGCTGGCGTTTTCGGACGTTCGTGCGAGCATTGATCTTGAGCGAGAACCGAGTACAAACGCTTTCGTGGACTCTTTCTTTTCTTTTTTTTCTTTTTCTTCCGAAGGATGCGCTTAAGAGATGAACTTAGAGTTTACACGTTCAAGATTACAAATCGTATCGGAAAAATCCAATTTGAGGAGGACATCTCTAAAATTCATATCACGTCAATGGTAAAAATCACAAGTCAAAAAATATATCTATATATATATCTTCCGCTATAACCGTACAAAATGTAGAGAATATAGGTCTTTAGAATAAATATATATATATATATATAATATATATATAGCGAGAGAGGAAACGGCACAATAATTCGGCAAGCCTCCGGTATATCAATGCACTCACTAACAGCGCACACCCAATTATTTTGTGAGCTCTTCCTCCTTCTGGCACTTAGTTTGCCGGTTCCGAGCCGGGCTCGAGATCCCTTTCCGTTCGCGGAAAGGGACGTCGTTCAAGATCCTCTTAATTTAACGTTGGCACTTACCTTCCGAACAGTCCCAAGAGAAGAATCAAAATCCGAAAACTGTCTCGTCTCGTAAGGTAGACTACATAAAAATATACGTATAGAAGAATAAACACGTAGCAAACGTTCTAGAAGAGTATATCAATTTCGAACTTCGTGTTATCAGTTTACGCTTCGTTTCTATCCTTTTAACGAAAGGCATCCGCATACGATATTTTGTTATTGTCGCTTCGCAACATACTCGCGTAAGTACGAACCGTCCTTCCCCCTCTCCCTCCCTTCTACCCTCTGTACGTATCTGATATGTGCTTTCCATTTGTGCGGAAGAGTATTTTCTTTACTTACGGTCGACATCTACAAGTTCCTCAGACGTACGACATCCTAGATCCCTTTGCGTTAAAATGACATCGCGTATTCTTACTAAGCCCACCGACGTTTCGTTCGTGACACGTGCGGCTCTTAGAACCTCAATCCTCCCCCTCCCCCCTCCCCGCCTTTTTCTCGATTAACTCTCTCACAAGAGCGCTCGCGTTACGACACGCGATGTACGCGCACGTACAATTATTAGTATTAGCGTAATGACTGATATCTCGTATTGTACTCTCTCATAGTGAGCGCGTTTTCTTAAACCGTATCGCCATATGAAAATACGTTGATGCGTTGGAGTACCTGAACCCTAGAAGAAACTTTTAGGCATCGCTCGTCTACGCCGGTCGACTGGCGGAACGTTGAACCTGATCCTATTCTTTGTCGATTTTTTTTTTTCGATTTACGCTCGATTTTTACAAATCGGACTCGCCGTAGAGAGCGGTCGAGAAGGAACGGTAATCCAGAGCTCCGGGAACAGCGTTCGGTCCCTTAAACGGAGGCATTCGCTGAATGCAATACTCCGCCTGGTCCGGCGGCAGTTCTCTCCTCAATTCGTCCGGCAGGATGTAAGGCTGTAAAACATAAGGATTCACGTTGTTATCTACTGCGCTCTGTACTCGCGACGATCATTGTCGCCGACAATTGGCGTAGTATTCTCACCTTATCGCCAGCGAGGATGCGGAAGCTGTCAATCACTTGTTCTGCGGTGTCAGTGTCGGTAGACTCGCGCGTCATGAAGTCCAGGAAGGCGTCAAAGTGCACATAGCCCGAGTTGTTGGGATCGACAATGGCCAGGATTCGTTGGAAGTCGATGTCGCCCTGCCTGTCTTTTCCGATGGAGTATCCTAGGGAGACGAGGCAAGACTTGAACTCGTCCGGCGCCAATCTGCCCGTCCTGTTCTTGTCGAAGTGATTGAAGCTGCTACGGAACTCGCTTAGCTGCTCCTGGGTAATGCCCTGAAATAGATATATATTGTTATTTCCACGTGTTCTCTTTTAAACAGCGTATAAATCATATGACAGACGTAATGGTGAAGAAAAAGAAGCAATACCTTAGAGTCTCTAGTGAGAATTTGGTTCTCGACTTCGTTAATGTTGCGATTGATCGAGGTCAGTAGCTGTTCCCAACCGACGCGCAGTGTTTCCATGGTGTACTGAGTATACCGGTTCTCGAAGATCATGCCTTCCTGGACGGCTTGATGGATCTTCTCCAGTTCTTCGAGATGAGTCTTGTATTGATACACCGCCTGTTCGTATTCCTTCAAACGATGCAACTGATCTTCCAAAGTTCCCTGAAACACACGCAACGCAATGTGAAAATTCATGCGCGCTGAAACATACGTAAAAAATCGTTAAATAACAATGATTTTATCTGATTTTATCTACCTGAAGTCCGAGACCAATAGCAGTGACCGCGTCCAATTGACGCTCTATCCATGGTCCGACGACGTTGGCTTTCTCGGCGAACTGTCGTCTAAGCAGTTCATTATCTATTTGGACATTTCAGGAAATTTCGTATTTTCAAAACATAATTATATATTAGAAAACGTATCGCTAATTTGCCAATAGAGTTTTGCCGACGTCTCAATGTCGCGAATTTTAAATTACTAAATGAAAAAATAATGTAACTAATATCACATAGCAAGGATACTTTGTTGCTTGCGAAGTTCAGCTGCCAAGGTACCGTCACGTTGAGGTACCAATTGCTTAACGTCGCTCCATTTCTTATTAAGATCCTGGAATAAATCAATAAAGTAACATTAATCGGTTTCGCGCCACACAGGTTGTGTGCTAGTGATTGATTTTCCGTCATACCATTGCAGTGAGAGTGGTGTAAGGATTTTCTAGGCCGCCAGGGATCTGATATTGCTTGACTATAGACTCTACTTCGCGCACCAGCGACACGATCGCGCTGAACTCCTTGTCCGCTTCACCGAGGGTTGCTTTGAACGCGGCATGGGCGTCCATCAGGCCCTGAATCTCCTCCATCGTGTGCACGATGAACATGTCCACTAAGTCTTCCCTGGTACCGTCCAACCAATTGTTGAACGGCTGAGAAAGATAATGCGACGACGTGAGATAACGGGCAAAGAGTCGAGAGCAACTTTGCGAATTATTGTAATTCAGATAATGCTTACAGCGGCGCGCTTGGCAAACTCCAAGTGCATAACGTCTATCTTCTCTAATATACGCTCAGCGTCGTTGAGAGCTTGACGTCTGCGTTGGGTGAGTGTACCCAAGCGATCCCATTGATCGCAAATGCTTTGGCACCTGGCGTTCACGGATGCGCTGTCGTGATACTCGAGAGTGCTGCAACGTGACGGTAACATGAGAATTACATAACATTACTACCACAAACATCAACACTGCAGTCGTCGCGAGTAATGGATCGCCGTATAAAGCGAGACTCACTTGAGCTCTTGAGCGATAGCCGCGATCTGCTCCACGCGATCTTGATGGGCCGCAAGATCCGACTCGAAGGCCTCGTGCTTCTTCTTCAGCGCCTTCAGCTCGTTCAGCTTGCACTGCCGGAAGTGTTGCGACGTGAGCATCTCCTCCTTGCCCGCGGTCCATTCCTCGTGGGCATCCGCCTTGTGCTTGAATTTCTGCGCCAGATGTTCCAGTCGCTCGAGACGCATCATCTCCGACAACAGCCAGTCCTCGAACGTCTTCTCGGCCAACTCCAAGCCTATAAGATACATTCATTTTGGACACATAGTTACTCTCTGCGAATGTACAAGGACACGCGTGACACGAGGAAATCGCGGAACAAGAGAGACCGCACCTTTCCACGCTTTATTTATGTCGGACACCATTTTCCCTTCCGTGGGCATATACGCCGGCCTGTTGCTCAGCCTCAGTTTCGTTTGCAGAGTATTGAAATTCGTTTCCAGCTTGGCTTTCTGTTCGACACGCGGCGGCTTATGCTTGCGCCGGTACGTCCTGTATTCCTCTAGCTTTTTCTGACAGCCGGCGAGGGAATTGTCAGTCTGTCGATTCGCGAGCCACGGCATTGTTCGTCGTATCCATTCGAGTAAATCGGAAGCCAGGCGCTCATACTCTTCCATGAGCCGCTCGTTCTCCTGATTCACCTTCAATACCTTGCAGATTCTGTTAGCCGCCGTCTCAGCCTACAACGAGAAAACGCATGTTCTCGTATTATTAATATTAAGAGTCGTATTAATATTTCCAAGTATACATATACAGAGTTTACTTTCATGTATTGAGCAAGACGCGCATGCAATCGTGAATATCGTACAGCCATCTCGAAAGAACGAACAGAAGATTCACGAAGCAAATTGAAAGTTCGACACTCGTACGTATGTGACGCTTTCGTATCGCACATCAATCATATTAACGCCCGCGCAAACACTCGCGTCTGTTACAGGTTAATTCCAAATGCAGAGAAACACACCTTTTGAGCACCGCTAAAACAGTGGTAGTATGAAGAAACATAGGTCATCACGGCCCTCTCATCAGGCATTGCCGTATTTCGCATATCTAGAAAAACACATTCGAAGAAACTCAAACCATGCGTTGTTAGCGTTGAAAAACTTGCCGTTAAAGATTTGATTAATTTTTTTAACAGTAACTCTGTCCGGATAAAGGGCGATACGTTATTAGTGACTCGTCATAGTTCGATGACGTATCCCGTACAAATATGCAAACACACATATGTATAAATATATATATATATATATATATATATATATATATATATATATATATATATATATGACAGAAGTATAACGAGTTTTGCGCACATAGTTTTACGCACTGAAAAGAGATACTAAACGTAAAACTCTGTTATTGCCTTACTCGTGGAATGTTACAGTAGCGCATCAGTGATCTCTCTCAGTGCTCTGTGAGACGACGGAACAATCAAGCCGGAAACGATGGCAAGGATGGATCGATTAGCAAGTTCGAAACGTCGTTAAAACGATAAGCACACAGTATGTCTGTATTAATGAAGAGTAGCACAGCTCGCGTCTGATAATTCGCAGGGGGTCGGGGGGAGTAAAGAAAGAGCAACACGCATGTCTTGACGCTGACCTGCTGAGCACCTTGGAACGCGTGGTAGTAGCAGGACACGTACGTCATGATAGCTCGCTCATCCGGCTTGGGAGTGTTGATCAAATCTACATGATATCAAGGGAACATTAAACATCGTGCGTTTACACATGTGTCGGTACGATACTCGAAGAAATCCGATCCTAGTCCTGTACGACGAAAGTAAACCGACGAGACGATTGATCTTGTCAATTGATTCGCGCGCGTCTCTTGCAATCCATTACGTCGCGAGCAACGCGGGTGGTACGCGGTTTCTCTTCGCTACTTCGTAGTTTCCTTTTCTTTTTTACTTTGAAGAATCGAGGCTCATACTTACCATCGGGATCTAACATGCGAGGAATGTCGAGATACTTTTCAGCGACATCGAAGGCAGTGTTCAAGTTCTCCAGCGGATTATCCTTGCTGAGTTTATTGTAGTCGATCAGATCGGGCCGATGACGGTGGATGAGGGCGCAGAATGCGAGACCGTCCTTGAAGGACAAGTGGAAGTTTTGGACGTTGACGTTCTTGTACGGCGCCGTTTTGCGTTGGCACCAGAGCAACAGTCCCTCCTTCGCGGTCATCTCTTCCACGGAAATGTCTTGGATCGCGAATCTCAGAATGATAGTCCATATCATTCCTAAGGTCATCTTTAGATTGCCGTCCACGATTTCTGTCGACAGATAGAACGGCGGAAGGGGAAACATTAGTGTATCATTCGACACGCGGCACTATTGACTTGGGCCCTTATTCTGAACTCTCATTTGTCGATGAGAGTACCTCTAAATGTGATAACGAGCTTTCTGATTGGCTCATTTAGAGGCACTTTCGCCGAAAAGAGAATCCACAACAAAGGTCTCGAACTTAATGACGAGAATATACCTTCTGCGCCAATGGAGACCAGCTTGACGCCCTTACTGGCGATATAATCCAGGGCTTTGTTCACATTGGCGATCTTGTGGAACCTCATCTTGCCCCTGTCGGGTCTCGGGAGGGTTTCGCCCGAGATCACCTCAAGCAGCAACATTAATTTCAGCCCATTCCTGAAATCGTCCTCGATCGATTCGATGGCAGTGCCTGCTTTGCGAAGATGCGAGTTGCACCACGCTGTGAATGTCTGTCAGAGAACGAGAATCGATTAATTTCTGCGCATTTCCGTCTCCTCTTCTCAGTAAGAGCGCGACAACGCGCCTGCAACAATCGAAATATAATCGCGGGGGCGATTGAACGAACAGCTTAAACGAAACGGCGATTCACTCGGCTTTCGCGCTAATATCGTGCAAAACCGACATTCAAAGGAATCATTTAAAATGGGGGATTGGGTTTCTCCGCTATGATGCTTAGTGTATATTTTAGTAGCGACCCCGATCCCTCCCGCTATATATATCTGCTGTCCTGGTTCTTAAACTACGCTTCTTATCGCTCGCCGCGATGATTTTCGGGTGGTCTTTCGATATCCTTGAGCAACTGCGAAGCATTACGTGCTCGTATCGAAAACGCCTCTTCCCTACGCAAACGCGTATTCCTGCCTTCTCCGCGAACCTGCTCTCATCGAGGTTACATCAGGGAGGCGCCAGAACGTTCCGCGATATAACTTTCGAGTTTAAAAATAATCACTCAGATTATATGCATATATACATATATATGTGTGTGTGTGTGTATACACCAAGTTAAAATTCCCGAATTGCTCCCGACACATGATAAATCAATTACTAAAATTAGCGACGACGGGGCCCAGAATATCCGGCCGGCTTTCGTGATGACGAGGGTCGATTTTCGCGACGAAAGAAATCATTTCGAGACTGTGTCCATACGTCGTGAGTGACGTGACGTGCGCGTTAAAGGATCGGCCGAGGATAAATCCGGCCGAACGCGGCGACAGATCGTCCCGGACATTTATTCGCGGTGGTGGTTGTGGCATAAAGCGCGGCATTTAATCGAGGCCGAATGGAAAAAACGGGGCCGCCGGTGAACACTTTTTTTCGGCTTGGGGAAAAATATTGCGTGAAATTCAATACGGGTAGCGTGAAGCACGACGGGCCAATTTTGGACATGAGCCACCCTAACTTCTGCACGCGCTCTAAGATCTATTTGTAAAACATTGACTCCTCCCGCGCGGAGTATTAGAGCATCTCGAACGCATTTCGCGGTTCGCCTCGTTTGTTTATTAATTAAAACCGCCAACGACGTTCCTCTCGCGGATATCCGCGTTATTATGTCATCGTCAATCCGTCAACGAGCTGACGCGCTCGCGCGTCCCCGCCTATTTGTGCAACATTCATCATTCTGGTCTTCGTGACGCGAATAAATGATAACGCGCGTGACAGACAGATAAAATCAATTTCGCGATCTTTCATTTCGATACTTATTAACGTAATACAACGTCGCGCGTCGCGCAACACATTCGCCGAGCTCGTAATTTAATACGTCGACGAGGAGGAGAGGCTTTTCACGCTGTGTACGTGTGCGTGACACATCGATATAGAAGTATAGTTGTGCGTGATTTTAAGTCTAAGATACGTTCTCTCGTGGATGAAGGAATGCCACCGCTCGATGTATTTGTTGATAACACATTATTTCTATTTCTGTGTGGCTACGTGTGTGTGTGTGTGTGTGTGTGTGTGTGTGTGTGTGTGTGTGTGTGTGTGTGTGTGTGT